CGACCCAGCAAGTCGGTCTAGTGGGTGGTCGACCCAGCAAGTCAATCGCGTAGGTGATCGACCCAGCAAGTGGATCAAGTGGATTATCGATCCAGACAGTCGATCAAGAGAGTGATCGACCCAGCAAGTCGATCAAGTGAGGGATCGAACCAACAAGTCCATCTAGTAAAGGATCGAACCAGCAAGTCGATCAAGTAAGGGGTCGACCCAGCAAGTCGAATAAGTGAAGAATCGACCCAGCAAGTCGATAAGTAAGGTTTCGACCCAGCAAGTCGTTCATGTGGGGGATTGGACAGCAAGTCGATCAAGTGGGTGATCGACACAGCAAGTCGATCAAGAGAATGATCCATCCAGCAAGTCGATCATGTGAGGGATCGGCCCAGCAAGTCGATCAAGTGGGTGGTCGACCCAGCAAGTCGATCAAGGGGGTGATCGACCCAGCAAGTCGATCAAGTGGGTGATCGACCCAGCAAGTCGATCAAGAGAGTGATTGACCCAGCAAGTCGATCAAGTTTGCGATCGGCCCAGCAAGTCGATCAAGTGGGGGATCGACCCAGGAAGTCGTTCAAGTAAGTATCTACCCCGTAAGTTGATCAGGTGGGTGATCGACCTAGCAAGTCAATCAAGTGGGTGATCGACCCAGCAAGTCGATCAAGAGAATGATCGATCCAGCAAGTAGATCATGTGGGGGATCGGCCAAGCAAGTCGATCAAGTGGGTGTTCGCACCAGCATGTTGATCGAGAGAGTGATCGACCCAGCAAGTCGATCAAGTGGGTGATCGACCCAGCAAGTCGATCATGTGGGGGATTGGCCCAGCAAGTCGATCAAGTGGGTGGTCGACCCAGCAAGTCGATCAAGAGAGTGATCGACCCAGCACGTCGATCACGTGGGGGATCGACCCAGCAAGTCGATCAAGTGGGGCATCGACCCAGGGAGTCGATCAAGTGGGTGATCGACCCAGCAAGTTGATCAAGTTGGGGATGAACCCAGCAAGTCGATCAAGAGAGTGATCGACCCAGCAAGTCGATCCAGTGGGTGATCGACCCAGCCAGTCGATCAAGAGAGTGACCATCAAGTCGATCTAGTTGGGAATCGGCCCAGCAAGTCGATCAAGAGAGTGATCGACCCAGCAAGTCGATCGTGTGGAGGATCGGCCCAGCAAGTCAATCAAGTGGGTGATCGACCCAGAAAGTCGATCAAGTTGGAGATCGGCCCAGCAAGTCAATCAAGTGGGTGATCGACACAGCAAGTCGATCAATTGGGCGATCGACCCAGCAAGTCGATCAAGTAAGTATCGACCCCCTAAGTCGATCAAGTGGGTGATCGACCCAGCAAGTCAAGCAAGAGAATGATCGACTCAGCAAGTCGATCGTGTGGGGGATCGGCCGAGCAAGTCGATCAAGTGGGGAATCGACCCAGCAAGTCGATCAAGTGGGTGATCGACCCAGCAAGGCGATCAAGTGGGGGATTGGCCCAGCAAGTCGATCAAGTGGGGGATCGACCCAGAAAGTTGATCAAGTGGGAGATCGTCCCAGCAAGTCGATAAAGTAGGGGATCGACCTAGCAAGTAGATTAAATGAGGAATCGACCCAGCAAGTCAATCAACTGACGGTTCCGTCCAACAAGTCGATCTGACTATCCTGAGTATTATAACTATTTTGACTTTTTTGTCAGTCAGTCAGTCCTTCCGTCAGTTCTTCCGTCAGTCCTTCCGTCAGTCCGTCCTTCAGTCCATCTGGCTGTCCGTTCGTCAGTCCGTCCGTCAGTCCGTCCGTCCGTCCGTCAGTTAGTCCGTTTGTCAGTTCGTCCGTTAAGCCATTCGTCCGTCAGGCAGTCCGTCAGGCGTTTGTCCGTCAGGCCAACCGTCCGTCCGTCAGGTTGATTGTCCGTGCGTCAGGCCGACTGTTTGGTCGTCAGGCCGACTGTCCGCCCGTCAGGCTGACTGTTTGTCCGTCCGTCCGACTGTCCGTTCGTAAGGACGATTGTACTTCCGTCAGGCCGACAGTCCGTTCGTCAGGCCGACTGTCCGTTCGTCAGGCCGACTGTCCGTCCGTCAGGCCGGCTGTCAGTCCGTCAGGCAGACCGTCCGTCCGTGAGGCCGACCGTCCGTTCTTTAAGCCGACCGTCCGTCCGTGAGGCCGATCGTTAGTCCGTCAGGCTGACTGTCCGTCATGCCGGCTGTCTGTCCGTCATGCGACCGTCAGTCAGTCCATCCGTCCGTCAGCCCGACCGTTTTTGCGTCCGTCAGTGAGTCCGTCAGTCCGTCCGCCAGTCCGTCTGTCAGTCTGTCCGTCCGTCCGTCCGTCAGTCAGTCCGTCCGTCAGACGGTCCGTCCATCAGTCTGTCAGCCCGTCTGTCAGACAATCTGTCCGTCCGTTAGTCTGTCAGTCCATTAGTCTGGCAGTCCGTAATCCTTCAGTCCGTCCACCCGTCAGTCCGTCCATCCGTCAGTCCGTCCATCCGTAAGTCCGTCCGTCCGTCAGTGTCCGTCCGTCAGTGTCCGTCCGTCAGTCACTCCGTCCGTCTGTCAGTTAGTCAGTCACTCCCTGTGTGTGTGCACGAATTCTTTTTCATCTTTAGATAGAATTATAAACTTTCTTTTATTTCGTTTCTCATTCACTTTACCCTATGGTAACAATATCATGTAGTCACTAGATTATTTACAGCTACTCAACAGTTCTCACTGTTGTTCGCCTTTTTGCATCTGAAGATAACATACTGGAAAAAGTGCAGCACATTCCTATACGACCGAAACGTGATTGCGTGATATTTATGAACTTTCATACAAAAATAATTTTGATCCTAAAATATAAGATAATTTACAAAGTCTGTTTATTAATTTCATCAAAATCACAAAGGATATTATTTAAACATTTCAAATACAAAGACCAAAGTGATGGCATTTACGGAAAAAACATTAAACGTACTTCTTGAAAAGTATGACATGTGGCCAGTTGGTCTTTTTAAATATTTTTAAAATAATATAACCTGTTTAACAGAGGTAGATCTAGATGAAAAAAATCCAAAAGTTCCAGAAAATATACTGCTTGCTCGACCGCAAAGGAGAAGATATAATCACGCTGGCACCAGGATTTCTGCGTCATCGGTATATTGTAGAGTTCCATGGTTTATCTTCCTACAATCTTGATATTTCTCTTTGTACGATTTGATCTCGTAAAGTAAAGGATGAAATTACGTTACATATTTTGTAAATTATTATTACAGTTTTCATTTTCGATCTATTACAGGCAAATAAAAACACTCTCTCTCTCTCTCTCTCTCTTTCACATACACACATTGAAATTTTCGTAGGGAAACAAAATATTCCTATATTTTTAGTTCAGTTATAATTGAATAGTTATATATTGACACGGTCTGTACACGGAGCAACGGTTGGGAAGTGCAGGTGTATCGGTTCAAGTGCCCGAGAGCGGGCGTTAGTTTGGGTGCAGCTTTCGGAATGCACCTAGCAAGCGGAATTCGTTGTACACGGCCAAAACAAATTAACGAATGTGTTTGCCGACCGGCCATTCTCCAGCGCGGGAGGCACTGCCACGTGATCTAGCGGTATATAAGTTAGCGGTGAAAATCGCTTGGCGGGATTCGATAACGAATGAAATCTTCATGCTGATGCTCATTTGTCCACCCATACGGTTGTAGCCTCGACTATGCGAGTTGTCTCTCTCGTTGTCTCTTAATTTTAAATTCGTGACGCCTCGAGTTGAGCCAGGTCGCGTAGGAAATATCAATTTTCGAGAAAATATTGTCAACGATTGGGCAGCTAGTGTTGATCACAGACAGACACACACACACACACACGCAGTCACACAAAAAAATAGACAGGCAGCCACATTCACACAGACACCCATAAAAAGACCCATAAACAGACACACACTGACAGATAGGCTCTCACAGAGAGACACACACTGACAGATAGGCTCTCACAGAGAGACACACACAGACAGACATATACACACAGGCAAACACACACAGGCAAACACACACAGACACAAACTCATACAGATAGATTATACAAGAACAAATAGACACAGACAGGAAAGCACCGACACAGATAGACTCACAGAAACACACACAACGCTCACCTGCAAACTTGCTCGGTGTCACGACAGGCAGACCGACAGACCCGACACACAAACTGAAACCTTTTCTAACTGTTTACTTTTCTTGTAAATGTTAGAAGTTCACAACTGGGACCTGTTCATAATCAACAGCAAAAGATACGAAATAGATAAATACAGGATCTTGGATTTTTTTGTCTTAGAAAAGGAATTATATATATCCAAAAAAATTTCAAACCAAAATAAATATATTTTTAAACAAACAAAACCTAAAAAACCTTTTTACAATAAAAAAGTCAATCAAGAATAAAGTTTGTCTTGTCTCTCGTGAAGGAAAAAACTGACAATATAACAAATACGAATACAATTACACAATATTCACAAACACACTCACACAATTAAATATTTACACTGTCAAAAGTAAATTTGTCTACCACCTTTTGTTTGACTGTTCGTTCTCTGATGTCATTTCAGTTCTTTGCCCTGGGTATGGCTACACGATTTTCCCAAATTCACCAATTCAGATAGAACAGAACCGTTATTTTGAAAATAGGTCCAATAAATAAATAAATATAAGAAAAGTTTTGGAAGTAGATTGACACATCAAAGTCTTGAAAAGAATGGAAAAAAGAAGAAAAGAATTGTAAATTGAAAAAATAAAGTATAAATCTAGAAGTAACTGATCAATGTTTTTCTCCATTTACCCAAGCTATACAATATATACATTTACATTTTTATAAATTAGGAGACGATTAGTTGTAAAGGAATTCCGATTTTAAAGAAATTTTCTCGTCAACGGTGATGCATCCCGTAAACAAGTATGACAATTATTCGTAAGATATTAAAAAGATATTCGCAAAGATATTAAAAAGGTCCAGAAGACTGCGGAGAACGTCCGCCAATCGCGCTGGTTGTTGCAGAGGAAGCGGACTACATGATGCCGTGCACGCTGTACATCCTGGCGGGGCTGGCGCTCACGTCCACCATCATCGAGCTGGTGCGGCGGCAGTACGCGCAGTCGTGGCGCCACCTGCAGGCGCTGTCGGGGCCGCTGGCCGAGTCGCTGCGGCGCCTGGGCGAGAGCGCGGCGCTGGCCGGCAGCGGCATCGACGTCACCGCGCTGCACCGCATGCTCACCGTCAGCGTGCCCAAGCGCCACCAGGTGCGCCCCCCCCCTTCTCTCTCTTTCTCTGAAAATCTCATGCCATGCGATAAACAAACAAGTAAATAAAAATAAAATATTCCAAGTTACAGTATTAATCATGAAAAATCCTGCACCCTCTGCTCCAAAGCCATTCATACAAGAAGAAAACCCTCATAATTAAGGCTTCACTAAGATGCAACATGGGCTTTCATGGCAGGTGTCCACGTGATTTAATATTTTCGGACTTGTAGGCCGTGGTCCAAAGGAGTCTGCTCCAAGAAGTTTTCTCCTTTGGACCACGGCCTGCACGACCGAAAATATAAAATAACATAACGCAACATTAGCTCTGTAAATAAGCCTAAGCTCCACCAAAGCACAAACTAGTTGCTCAAACAGCACTTTTTTCACCTAATTCATTTGTATATTTCACAATTTTCGGAAATTCGGAGAGTCCAACGAAAATGAGAACGGTGGCATTTAAATAAGCGTAATTTGCTCTATTCGCAAAAAAATTGAGTGTTTACAGAATATTTGTTTTAATGCCTGCATTTGAGGAGCAAATTATTCATTTTTTAAAAATTTTTTTGTGAATTTATTTGAATATCTAACGTTTTTAGAACAGATTTCATTTAGGAAAATATATCAATTTTCAATATTGTTTTTGTGGGAACGCGCGAAAAAATTGGAACTTGTGTAATTTCCATAAATTTAGATACCTAAAAAATTAGACCATTGTATTTTTTAAATGCCCTTTGTTCTATCCGAAAAAAATATCATCCAAAAATTTTGAACCATATTTGGGGCCATTTTCAAAATGTTGATGAGGCTTTATATAAAGTACCTCCAAAAATCAAAATGTTCGTTTCCAATTCGCAGACTCTTGGGTTGGGCCAAATCATTCAGGGGATTTTTAATTTTGACTAACAGTTTCTGAACGGTTTTCGCGCTCGCATGACTCCAGTCTGACGGCCATATGGCCGAAACCCAATATTTCGATATCAAGGACGCAAAAAACGCGAATTCCGACTGATCAACTTGTTACAGGAAGTAATTTACATCGTATAAGAACAAAATGTATGTTTTTGATATCAGGATCCCACAAAACGAGATTTTCCGACGCCACTTTAGTGCTTAAATGGAGCCGAAATGCTGAGGATATACATTGCCAAAGATATATTTCATCTGAAACGGAAAACGAAGTCGCAAATTTGTGAACTGATGGAATTCGAGTGCATATTACGACAGTCCTGTATTCCGCCCGGCACAGCGATCGCGTCCGATCTCGCCGACCGCGCCAGCCGGCAGTCAGAATTCCAATGCACTCGCTGTTAATAAATAACGGAAAGTCCGGAACGTACAAGAGCGCTCCGAGAATAGAAAATTCGCACAAAGTGTCGTACACGGTGCTACAAAATTGGAAAATTACAGAAAACACTTTATACTAGAAACTTTGCTTCTGAGACCAAGCAAAGAAAATAAAGGAAAAATTTATTGCTAATATGAGAAACATGCTGGTGTGTTTTTCCACCTGAAATGAACAAGTCGGCATAAAATTCCCAACTATACATATCATAGCGGAGTAAATAGCCTGTATTCGTTTAGAAAACAACAACAAGCCGACTTCGGCATCTCTGAGATTCAATTGATGGCACTGCTCTGCCTCTGACCGGGAGGTCCTAACTAGCAATCGACTGATCGGCAGTTTTCCGTAGTCTCGCCGATCAAAACGAGGATAATGCCGGAGCCGTACCTTAATATATGGCCATGGACCGCGCGCGATCTTTCCTTCCCGTCCCTTGCCCTATCCTTACTCCTTACTTACACTTACACTTACATTCATTACATTACCTCACACGCCAGGAGACCAGTCCGGGGTGGTGTCTCGCTGGTAGGAGATTCGTGGTTGGTGGAAATTCCCGGAAGCCGACGGATGTCGGCGCTGGACCCCGCCATCCAGGGGGGGACATCACCACCACCTCCCGCGATAAACCATGCATTTCACTTCCGGGACTAATGACCTCTGCAGTTGACGCTCCCGGAACCACCGATCGGTTTTGAAACCACGAAAATGAACTGTTGCAGGGCGGCGCCAGCGCGAAGGCGCGCGACGAGTGGGAGCAGGCGATGGCGGCTGTGCTGCAGAAGATCACGGCGCCGCCCCCGCGCCCGCCCGTGCTGCAGATCGTCATCTACGAGACCACGGTGTGAGCGGACCTAGACGCGCCCGACAGCGCTCGTCGCCCGCCGCCGCCCGTTCGCCCTGACTCGGCCCCCGCGCGTCCACGTCGACAAGCAGACAGCGCGAGGACAGGACGGCTCAAAGCGCAGCGAGAGGGAGGACCGCATTCGAGAATGAAATGCGCAAGCGCGTCGCTAACAGATGAAAGTATTGCTTTCTGTTCATTAAGGAAATATGTTTTAAATTATTATGTTCAGGGATTCTTGCACCAGTCGCGATATGATTAGCATTGTTTCGCGGGATTTGGTTACATTTCTATATGCACAAAAATAAATGAAAATAATGTGTTCAAGCACATATTCTCACTGGCTAGAAAACAGAAGTTCCGCGAGAATATATATTTCACAAATCCCAGCCTTGAATCATTGCAAACTTTCTCGCAAGTAAACTGGCAATAGTACAATTCGTCTCATGACAAGTTTTAGAAAATATTCGAATTACCTACACGTAAAACACAACCTAAATACTCCTTTCACGTTTCTCACAGATCAGCTCTGATCGAAAGCTTTCTGTCTTTCTGTTTCCTTTCTGAATAGCACGCTTACAGTGGCAACTCTCGAGTCTCGTGGAACATTGAAGAAATAGTGAGTGACACCTCACAGGTTAGGCGTGGAATATATCTTCTAAACAATGTGTGGTATCAAGGGTCGGTTGCGCCAAGTTGTAGACTGTTGGAGAAATAATATATTTCATTTTCTTGTTTATAGCAATAATAATATGGAAGACACTGACACAACGTTGATTTTAAAATGCAAAGTTCATATATATGTCCCTCGGGAGCCTTCTGAACAGTTTACAGTTTTTTCGTGGTGCGATCCCGGTTTCGATTTTCTGTCGGGGCAAAAAACTGAGCGATAGATTTTTAATAAAATTGTCTCAATTTCTGTAACTGCGTGACGCATAAAAGTTCATGCAGTTTTCTACATGCGGTGATGAAAACAAGTCACACTCGCCACATGTTTCTCTTAACTCCAGGCGTGGAAATTAAACTAGGCCCAGGCCTGGGAACACCCTGCAGCAAACTCGGACAAAATGGGCCTAAATACCATGCACAAGAACACGGTTTTATCACGAGTATACTAAAGTTTTAGTTGAAGGGAATACAATGGTATAACAAGTGTTAATATTTGGAGAGAAAGTTTCTAACACAGTTGTCCGCCAGAGAGAGAATGTCTGTGCTCATTGCGCTCCGCTCTTCGAGGGAAACTGGAAGCAATGCCATGTTTTTATTATAAATATCCTTAATAGTATTTCTTTCTTTGATTGGTCTTATTTATGTTCTTCATTTTGTGTGTTGGCTCGAAATGTTAAAAACTTATTCCGCATTATTAATTAGCTAGCAAGAAAATGAAACGTGTGTCCAAATTCCACAATGGAATCGTTTATTGTTTGGTCAATTAAGATAATTAGAAAGCGACAAAATTAACACTATGCTTGAACTCAAATGTATTAAAATTTAAACTGTATTGGATTATCTTAAAGTTATTTCTTAGGTTTCTCTTTCTTGAAAATTCATCTTTTATTTTTTACTAAAATGTATCTCCAAGAATTCATTGCCCTTTCAACAGTAGAATGCTATTAAAAATATAAATAGGTGATGTTAAATTACTGTCCCATTTATTGCAATATAAGGTCTACAATTATTTTAAATCTATGACAAATTACGTTAATTTGCATTCATAAATAAAATTAATATATTAAAACCGTTACTGGCGCGGGAACAGCAGGCTCCACTTCGGGATCATTGCAGGTTCGTTCAGCTCTGAGCTGCACTGTTTCCTTGCGATTGCAATGATGGACGCGGAGAGATCTGTGAGCACAAGCAAGATCAAACGTACTCTCGTGTGTGCAGTGTAGAACACGTTTTTTGTTATTTAAGGTCGCATCAACTACTAGGTCATTTGCAACTACTACTGCCTGTAACGGTATGGTAAGTATGAGGAGGACACGATATGATGATAATGATGATGATGATAGGGATGCAAAAGGACGAACACAAAACAACCATGCCCAAGGCGGTACTTGAACCCGCGATCCTTCGGTCCGAGGTCGCTACGTTACTATGGCCTTAGCGATCTCGGCCACCGGATAGGCGATTTATTTTTTTGTATGTAACAATACTGTCAGTTTCTTTCTTTGTATATAACAATATTGCATTCCGCTCTTTAAAAAATATAAAATGCTGCGTGAAGACTTCATACACCATGCATTTCAAAAATTAAAGTTGTGTCGATATTACAAAAATTACAAAACTAAGTACATTAATAAGTGTTTTGTGAATCACTACCACGTTCATAGCAAAGTTGCTCAATTATATTGAATTTTTTTCCTTTTCTTTTTTCAATTTGGAGGAAGTTGAGCGCTTTGCACATTCGGAGTAATCCTCCATTAATACTTCAATATGTCATATCCGTCACGTCTCGTTGCAGTCAGTTGTCAAGAGGATCGTCAGCTAGCATCGTCAAGTAGGCGCCTCCTCCGACGCGCTCTTGCGTCACTACTCATCGGCCACAATTGGGAAGGAATTAAGATTGGGGGAGAGGTTGGACTAGTCCTTGTGAAGCAACAAAACTGGCATTTTTGGAACAAATTTCGCATGAGATTATCCGGTATACGAACCCGGGCCTCCTTTGTAAAAGTCGAGCGACTTCGTTCCGAACCATGAGATGACTTTTGCCGCCATTATAAGATATAATAAGGAGAAACATAATATCTATAACAATCACACTAAATAACGTGGGTTAGAAACAAAGTTATTTATCGGAGTGATTAGTTTACAGAAAATGCCTTCTGGGGTCATTAGAATCATTATGAGTGTTCTCAGAACTCGGCAGCTCACAAGACAAAAGGGAAAGTTCTGAAACTCGCCAATTTTTACTTGTATTGAGAAAATGGCCCATCTTACTATTGTAAGAATTTCATAACATAGTTAACCAGACAGCCCGTATGTAGTACACTGTCTCTAGTTGAGAATCCATCCCAGGTAAAATAACTTTCATCCAAAATAATTTTTTAATTTGCTTTTTCTTGGGCCCCGATGAACTATTCTTTCAGTAATTACCAGTTCAATGTGTATTTTCAAAAAATTACTGATGGTTTATCCAGAAAAATCCAGGACATTACCTACCACATCGATAAGTGTTGATTAATTCTTATTGTTTCTGGTAACATAGATCTCTTTTTGAATTAGATAGAGGATTGATAATATCAAATAATTAATCCTATATCACATTTGCTGAAATTAAAAAAAATCTATTATTTTTTAGCTATTACATATTTCTTTAATTACCTTAAGCATATTTCAGAAGATTGTGAGCATGATTTAGTGACAGGAAACATTTACAAATTTTGCTAATACAGAATACACTGGAGGAATCGAGCCCTAATATGTTTAGGCATAGTGAAACAAGCAAGAAGAGTATGCTTTATACGTTTCTTGCGAGAACTTGATGAAACTTTGATAGATGTCTTATTAAAGTGTCAAATGTCTTGATACTTAATTAGCAGTGTAGTTAGTGTTACGTGCTTAGCAAGAATTTTATGGCGTAAATGAAAACATATTAAAAAATAAAAGTTTACAATGAGGCAGAATGTAGAGCGAGGTCATAGAAAAAAGTCCAAAAATCTCCTATTCTGCTAGAATTCCTTCTTTATGTAGAGCAGAATGACTTTACATTACCAGTTTCTCTATGAAATGTGCTTCACTTTGTTAGACCCTGTGTTATTAAATCGACCTAAGAAGCGCATTCCTTTCCATTGTTGTAGAAACAATATATACAAAACTACGAAAACTAAACATTTAAAAACTTACGTAACTTTTCTGGTGGAGTCTACGATACCCGAAGACGTTGAAAGCTTCTATAGTTCGTCACTACACAAACGTAACAGGATAGTGGCTCGTAAGATCGCAAACCCCACAATTTGAAAGGAATACACAAGTCGCTGAGAAATTTTTTTTTTTAAATATTTAAACTATTTACAAAAAAGTTGGTGTGAGTCTCACAGACCACACCAGCACAGTTAAAGGTTAAAATTTAAAAAGTCCTTTTCGTCTATGTCATGTCATTGCTAGAGGCATTTTCGCACAGAATGTTTTCGAAAACTCAAGCCAGTGAGGGCTGGTCTGCGTCTCTTCGAGCGGAAACATCTCTGATGGCGATGTCAGACGTATGCCAACAAGGACGCTCATTCAAAAGGAACAGAAATTATTTTTGTTGTCCTGAGAGACTGCAATGAAAACAGTGGAACTGACAATAGAGAATCCGCACTCTTGAACAGCGAACTTTGTCTGAACTTTGTCTGAAATTCTGATTAAGAAAACATATCGGGAAAAGATGTTAAAGAACGTAGCTGCCCACTTTGCGAAATTCGGTGTAGCAAATATAGCGATTTCGTACGTCTTCCAAAAGTTCATGGAATCAATTATGTCAGTTACCTCAAAATGTGAATCATAATGTACGACGCTGTAGTTTTGGACAACCGATATTATCGGAAATGATCCTTAATATTTTTTAATAAAAAATAATGTCATTTAGAAGGGGAAAGTGACGTGTGATATGTAAATGCACATCACCATCTCTTTTTTGTACTCTATTTAAAAAAACGTTTCGACATTGTGAATACCTGCTTTCTCAATGTACCTTCAGAAAGTGATGTCAAAGAAAACTAAATACGCTCAAGAACAAGAGACCGTTTCAAAGATTCGAAATGTGTAGACATATGTTCTCCATGTTGTTTATCAGAGACTGTCTGCAAAAACACTTCACGAATAATATTTTGAATATACAGAGACAATGTATAACTGTTTTGATTATAACTTTCATCACAGAGCATATCAAGTGAATGTGAGTGAAAAGAGGTGAATTTAATTTGAATGCAATGAATGATAAATAATTGTTTCTGAGAAATATTTGTAAATGGTGATTGCATGCTATAATTATGCAAAGAATAAATTATTCACATAATCGAA